GAGCACATCGGGTGATATCTCCGGATCTGAGGACAACTAGTTGCCGAAAAGTAGAACACGGGCAACTGACTGAATCCGGAGACCGACTGTTTATCTCCAGTTGTAAGAGCGCTCACATCGACTGATTTCAACTGATCATCTCCATCATCTTCTCTCAGTTGCCAAAAGCCGCCTTGAAACTGTTGTCTCCAGTTTCTCTGTCGATGTGCGCTAGGCTTTAGACAAACTCACCAAAAATGAGCTCCAGAAGGATGACATCTGAGGAGGTTTTTTCACAGATTTTTAACTGTGATAATGATGTAGAGGAAGAAATTTCAGAAACAGAGGAAATTTCAGAGACAGAGGACAATGTTATTGCTGATCCAGATTGTCAATTTTCCTACGATAAGGAAGATTCAGAGGACGAATCTTTGGTCAAGGAAGGAGGATGGGAGGAATGAAGTAAGGTAGAAAGGAAAGAATGGAGAAAGGAAGGAAGGAAGAGAAAAGAAGGAAATAGAGGAGGATGAACAGAGAAGGAAAACAGGATGAGAAGACTAAAGGAGAAAGCATGGCAGGAGGAAAGAAGGAGGGAAGAATTGTCATTTTGACCCGAGAGGAGGACAAGAAGATTAGGCTAAATATTTCTTAAATATAGTGTTGGAATTAAAAATGCATTGTATGTCACTTTTCTAAATATTTAAATAACCTAATATAAAGTTGTTATTGGTTTAACCTGTTTTCTTGACTGTTTTGAGTGCATTTACACAGTACGGGTCAAAATGACCCGCAACATAAACAATGTCATTTTTTTTCAACATAATACAAGGGTTAAACAGACCAGGGTTAGACTGTCTCGTTCCTGTCTCTGTCTGACGGCAGCGTTTCAAGATATTTATTAGTATAGCACAGTCCAGGTGTTTCAAAGGCTTCACGAGTTAAAAACAAAATAAATACATTAAAGGCAAAGGATTGTTTATTTTATTGTTTATTTTGTTTCTTTTATTTATTTTGGAGTCGGAAAATGTGTTGCATGGATCCATTCATGCATTTATATTTATTATAGACCCAGGACTGAGGCTGTAGACCCAGGACTGAAGCTGTAGATCCAGGACTGAGGCTGTAGACCCAGGACTGAGGCTGTAGACCCAGGACTGAGGCTGTAGACCCAGGACTCAGGCTTCTCTCTGAAGTACGTATAACTTTTGAGCATATTTCTGGTGATGGAGTCGACAAACTGATAAAGACAAAGTGCAGGAAACTTGGAATTGGACAAAACACAACTCCAAGTTTGTTGAAATTGAAAAGAATCAATGTTTTGTTTGGCATCGACAAAAGGAGGCCTGGGAAACTCAACAGCAGCGGAAAAAGGTATGTTGTGAGTGAAGCAAGTAGCCAAGGGACTGCAGTGTGAAATTAAAGAATGAGAAAAGTGTTTTTACTCCCACCGACGCACAACTGAGAGCCGATCCTGGACCAGACTACAACATCCCAGTCTCCCTCAGCAGATGTGCAGCCGCTCGGGTTGGAAGGAATGATGGAAAGGGTCAAAACCTGTCAGATAGATGCACTTCTGAGCAAATATCGCAACTTTTGGCAACTTTTCTTTTGATTGGTTGTCAGATACTTCTATATAATAGTCATGGGGTTTTTGTAATTTCAATTGAGCTGCAGTTTTTACGCGTCAGGAGATTATACTGTATGTGTTTAATGTCATATGTATCGGATTATTCAAAGCCAAAACAATCACATCTCTCTGGTTACGAGCTGTAGAAGAATATGGACAAGTAGAACGACTAGGATGAAGCTGTATGATTTAGGCTATTTTTAGACCAGAGAGAGACCAGAGAGAGACTAGAGAGACTAGAGATAGACCAGGGAGAGACCAGAGATAGACCAGAGAAAGAGACCAGAGATAGACCAGGGAGAGACCAGGGAGAGACCAGAGCGAGACCAGAGAGAGACCTGAGAGAGACCAGGGAGAGACCAGGGAGAGACCAGAGGGAGAGACTAGAGAGAAGCCAGAGAGAGACCAGAGAGACCAGAGAGTCTAGAGAGAGACCAGAGATAGACCTCGGAGAGACCAGAGAGAGACCAGAGAGAGACCAGAGAGAGACGAGAAAGAGACCAGAGAGAGAGACCAGAGAGAAAACAGACAAACAAAACCCAAAGTTATAAGATAGATATGAAGCATTATAGATTCTCAGTTCATATTGCTCTTTCCATTTATGAATTCAAATTGGAGGTCTGGAGACAGTGGAACTAACACTGCACAAACATTATGCTAAAGTTAGAGATGTGTTCTTTGCTTCCTCTTTGCTGATTCATGTCGTGTCAAACTAAATGTCAACCAGAAAACAATTCTAATCAAACCCGTGTTTTGTCTGTTCGAGTCTGTCCAGATTGAAATAACTTTCTTGTGAAAACACAGACACGGTTATGTAACAGTGCTGCTGAGTGATGTCACATACACACATTACCTCACCGTCTTGGCTGCGAGACTGAGGCTTTTGAAGCGCTTCAGGTCATCAGGTTTTAAGACAGGTTTTAACACTCAAGTAATGTGTGTGTTTCCTTTAAAGCGTCATGGCCTTTTACTTTAGGACTGAGGATCTGGGACTGAGGCCGTAGACCCAGGACTGAGGCCGTAGATCCAGGACTGAGGCCGTAGATCCAGGACTGAGGCTCTAGACCCAGGACTGAGGCCGTAGATCCAGGACTGAGGCTGTAGATCCAGAACTGAGGCTGTAGATCCAGGACTGAGGCCGTAGACCCAGGACTGAGGCCGTAGACCCAGGACTGAGGCTGTAGACCCAGGACTGAGGCTGTAGATCCGGGACTGAGGCTGTAGACCCAGGACTGAGGCTGTAGACCCAGGACTGAGACTGTAGACCCAGGACTGAGACTGTAGATCCAGGACTCAAACAAACATCTCATACAGCCTCCAAACCGACACACACAACTGATCACTCCTTTGGCAGCAATAATGAAGTTTCAGGTGCGAACATTTCCTCCGTGTTTTTACGACCCGCGCCCTAAAGCTCTTCAGACTGAACTCCTCCTCCGCGTCCCTGCGTCGGCTCGTGCTGGCACTGACCTCCTCCATAAATGTGTGAACGATGAGTTAAGCCAAGCTGCCGGTTGCCCGTGTCCGCCCCTTCGCTCGCACCTCGGCAGCAGCTGTTGACAAGTGCGAAGAACCAGGATCCAGAGGAATGCAGATGTGCACATAACGCCTCGCCTCCGGGTGGTGATACGCAACAGTCTCTCTGCAAAAGGCGATCGTAACAACACATAAAGGAACAGGTGTGGAGGCAGAAGGG